CCTCCTGGGTTCAGGCAATTCTCCTGCCTCAGCCTCCTGAGTAGCTGGGATTACAGCACACGCCACCATGCCCAGCTGATTTTTTGTATTTTTAGTAGAGACGGGGTTTCACCATGTTGACCAGGATGGTCTTGATCTCTTGACCTCGTGATCCACCCGCATTGGCCTCCCAAAGTGCTGGGATTACAGGCGTGAGCCACCGCGCCCGGCCCACTAATTTTTTTTAGACAGGATTTCACCATATTGGTCAGGCTGGTCTCAAACTCCAGATATCAGGTGATCCACCCGCCTCAGCCTCCCAAAGTGTTGGGATTACAGGTGTGAACCACCGTGCCCAACAGTCTTGCTAATTTTTGCTTTTTTTTTCTGGAAACTGTGTCTCACTCTGTTGCCCCGGCTGGAGTGCAGTGGTGCGATCTTGGCTCACTGCAGCCTCCACCTCCCAGGTTCAAGCAGTTTTCCCACCTCAGCCTTCCGAGTGCTGGGACTAGAGGCACCTGCCACCACACCCAGCTAATTTTTGTATTTTCAGTAGAGACGGGATTTTACCATATTGGCCCATCTGCCAGCCTCAGCCTTCCAAAGTGCTGGGATTACAGGCGTGAGCCACTGCACCCTGCCAAACAGAAAACATTTATATTTGTAACAACACTCAACTGTGGAAATATATAGGTTATAAAATTAGATATGCAAATCCTCAGAGCATTGCTTATAACCATGTCTTTCTACCTCAAAGTATAATCTGAACGCAAGTGATTGAGACTAATGTAGGAATAATCTTCAGTCTGCTCTGATGATGATGATGATTATTATTTTTTTGAGAAAAGGTCTTGGGTGGTGACAGGTACACACCACCATACTTGGATATCTATATATATGAATTTTTTGTAGGGGGGAAGGTCTCACTATGTTGCTCAGGCTGGTCTTGGACTCCTGAGTTCAAGCTATCCTCCCTCCTAAGCCTCCCAAAGTGCTAGCATTATGGGTGTGAGCCACCGTGCCTGGCCTTCTAGTTCATTTTTTAAATTGTTCAAAGCTGCCTGTTTTTAGTGATAAAACACTTGGATACTCCATAACTTGAGACTCCAGTGAGTCATGACACCAAGTTTGGAAACTGTTCTACATATAAAATAATGAATATTTAACAGGTAAAATTAAATATAGGGCTAAGTTTTTAGTGGCTGGCTATAAGCCTAATAATGTTTATACATTCCTTCTTGCCTTCACAATGGTAAGTATAGATTTTATTGTTTGCATTTAATTTTAATGTGCAAAATTTTGTTATTCTTTTAGGGCACTGTAAATTGGTCTGTTGATGACATTGTCAAAGGCATAAATAGCAACAACGTGGAAAATCAGCTCCAAGCTACCCAAGCTGCCAGGTATGTCTTGTCTGCAGTAGCATGGGTTACCTAATAAATTAGTGTTTTTAGATTTTTTTTTGGCGGGAAGGGACAGACAAGATAGTGTAAGGAAAAATTAGGCCAGCTAGCCATAAACCAAACAGTGTTTTTTGTTTATTAATTTTTATGAGTGGGAGGCCTTGCTATTTTGCCCAAGCTGGTCTTGAATACCTGGGTTCATGCAGTCCTCTCACCTCAGCCTTCTGAAGTGCTGGGACTACAGGTGTGTGTCCTTGTACCTGGCCATAAAGTTTTTATCAGAGTAATGTTTCAAGTTACTGGCAGTGAAAGGAAGAAATGAATAGTAAGTGAGATTGATACATCTGTTTAGAATGATAGATCCATTTAGGAAATAAGCATAATTTGACTTTTATCTCCCACCATACACAAATATTTATGATATAATAGAAAGGATTAATAATTTCTATAGCTTGACAGTGTGCAGAAGAA